AACACGGACACGCACCCACACATATACCACACATACACACACACTCACTCACACACCATCACACACATAAACACGCAGACCCGTTCTTGTAACCCAAACACACACACATACATACACCCTCCAAATCCAAGGTTAGATACAACAGATATGTATTCTCCGCTATGCCTAACACAGGTAAGTGAGCCTTTCGTCTGTGTTTAACCATTTTTGTTGCATTTATGCTTTCTCCCTCAGGGACAGGGCGAAATGGACTGACGTTGCTCAAGACAAGTAACTTTGTGTTCAGTAGCATTCCTGGTTTGTCAGAGCCATCTGAACTAAGTACCACATGGCGGATGGCGCCTATCTCCTACATATATGTACACATATATATGCATGTCTATTTTAGTTCATATTAGACATGTATCGGTGTCGAGCGCGCTTTTACGTGGACTACTTTTTGAGTTTCAATCCAAAAATGAAGATGGCCTTTCCTATAAATTACATGTGCACGTTATCATCTTCCCACATATTTGATATGAATGAAAGCACACAATATTTTTACATAGGGTGGCAACATCATTTTCCAAAGCTCCCCTCGACGGCGTCCGATAGGTCCCTGCACTTGGAGTCATTAACATGCATGCAATTGTCACTTTGTATTGATTACTGCTTTCAACGCGATATTTAAAAGACAGCATTTTGCTGGGTCTAAATTGTATCCCAAAAGTTTCAAACTTAGAATTAGTGTTGTAAGCGTTCGATTTTAGGTTGTTCTTGGTAGCAGTAACTTTTATGAATTTCAACTGTTGGTGCATTTCTTTGCAACTCTTCCACTGTATCGAGTCCCTGCCACTCTCTGGCATTGAACTTTGTCGTGATCAATGTGCACGGGGAAAACACAAGTTAGGACATTACACTTTAAGGCTACTATTATATTCGATGGATAATGTTTTATTTATTTATTTGCGCACTACGGCTATGAGTGACATGTAGCATGCTCAATAACTTCGATTATATTTTAGAATTATTAAACAACTTTCTATTCCAGAAGATAGTTGCGTTTTCTTGGACTTGAATGATTCTTGTTCGAGTTTGATTACCCGAAATATGGTGGTGTGTAGGCCTAATCAAAAGGTGTTCGAGGTGGGAACGCTACATAAGTGGAATAGCTTGCTAAATGATTAGTTGCATATCCATAATGTGGTTGGTGTTTAAAACCATTATCGGATCCTGCTTTCCTAAAATATGTAAATATATACGTTTTATCAAATGTATCATGATACAGTTATGGGTTTGTTTAAGATCTGATAAGATTTATTAGAGTTTTTTTTAAATTGATTTAATTTTGACCACCAACAGGCCTATTGGCCTCGTCTCATGTCAGTTGTATTTAACTATCAACATAATTTAAGTTTTAAATTATCTTAAAATAAGATGATGATTTTTCCCTAAATTGATTTCATATTTTTTCCCCAAACATTTTGTTGTCATTATGACCACGTTATTGGTGTAAATTGATGTAAATGACAAATACCTGACTTGATATCAATGATGGGTTCTGGTCCTGGACTTGCCAACCTTTACAATGGAAGACCATTTCAAAACCAAAACTGCTCCTATACCTCTAGTGGCAAGCATAACTAATAAGTCCTGAATATTTATCTATAATTATTTCATAAGAATCATCTTTGAGGCAAGACCGAAATGGGCCTAAAGGAGAACTGAAACCTGATATTAGTTGGACACAAACTTGAGAAGGGACATTTAGAGAAATGGCTCGCTTGAGTATGTAAAATATTAATTCATACAAATTTTGCCTGGATATGTTTTTTTTATTTCTTAAAATAAGACTATGTGAATTCACATGCAATACAATTAATCTCAACTGTATAAAGCAGAATCTTGACTAATTGGCTAATTAAGTATAAGTATTCAGAGTTGAATGATATACAAAGAGACTGTGTGTTATCCTCTTATTCATGCAGTTAAGGCAAAAAGTGTTTAATCAAGTCTAAAGATCTATCAAGTCAAGATCCCTCCATAATCAAAGGCCTTTGATTGATTCAATTTAATTTGACATTTTTTGGGGGTGGGTGGGGGGGGGGGGGGGGGGGGGCTCCTATACAAGACAGGCAGGCCTAAATCACTTCCATATGTTTTGTTCACTGCGGAGGATGGAATATTAAACCTAGAATTGAAATTTGTAGAAAAATATTGATAATTGCCAGAATTTGCCTTTGCATTCTGTCTTTGAGGCACATGGTACCGTTTGTGTAGTCGTGGAGGAGATGCAGGTATAGAAACAGTTGTGCACATTGCATGGGTTTGGGAAAACACTTAAAAGTATACATGCCCCTTACGGCCTGCATGAGGGTCTTTGAGTCCGCAGCAGCTTAGTAAAAGCAGGAAGATTTGCCTTTGTGCAATTGCTCCAATTTGATTAACAATGATGAGGCGTCCGCTCTTTAAGTACGTTTACTGTTGTGGGCAGGAAGAGGAGAGAGTAAGCTTGGTCGACACACTGTCATAATTGCCTCTGTGTTGTGGTGTGGGTAGCGTGGGTGTCAATAGGAAGAGAAGACTATGATTGCTATTCTAAATTACAGTTATTCATGAGTTGTTGTTACAGGCCTGTTATTTGGAACCATTACATTTGTCTCCAAGGTGTACAGAAAGAAAAATAACTTCACAGCTGGAAGTTTCTGACTTAACATTTCTATTGACACGCTTTTAGCAGTGAATATACACTTTTCTAGGGTTTTGTTAATGGAATTGCAGCAGATGATATATATTGATATATATATGGCCTACATAAAATTGTTGTGGCACCTTTGCATTTTGTGTGTGTGTTTTATTAATGTTGAAAAGAAGCAAAAAAGCAAATGTAGACTATGCAGGTATTGTTCAAATGGCCCGGAGACAGGGGAGAACTATATTATATACAGAAACCACAAATAGCAATGCATAATATCAGCCATTGAAGAGTGATATTTCATAGCACATTAACTGAAGTTACTTCGAGTGTTGCTGAAGGCAGTTGGAGAAGCCATTTACTGGATTTTATCTCAAGCTCAAACAATACAATTTTCATGCCTATGAGACAAGGGAGTGAAAGTCTTTTTGAAATTCAATGAAAAGTGTGGCGTCACTGTATATGGTTGTATTACATTTGAATTCAGCTATATTCTTGATGATTATTCTCGTGTGTGTGCTCGCGAGCAGGTGTTAGTACATGTATTAGTAACCACATGCCGTCCCAGTCAGAGGTATCCGCACATATCAAGATTTGTACAAAGTTCTTTGATCTCTGAATAGTTTAGTAAATTTTGCGTGGCCGGGGTGGTAAGATAGCCAAGGGCCACCCTGGCTCTCCAAACAGGCCTCGTATAAAAAACATGTCTCCTAGTACTCCGACCACTCACTACTTCACTGCCAACCTCTACTGAGAGTGTTTGGGAAATGAAAATACGTCTCTGTTGTAAATTGCAAATTGGAGTGGTGGTTTGTCATAATTTATTTCATTTGATTGGATTTCATTGGTGCTTTTTACAATATAACTGTTAGTCCTGTGTCTAGCCTAGCTTCCCCTCCATAAGACACAGTCCAGACAAACTATGTACTGTACTCACTGTATATATGCATGTAAACACTCACCTAGAAGAGCTGCATATCTGCTCTGGTGCTTAATGTAGCATAACGTTTTATAGCATGATCAAGTGTGGCATCCTTGTACAAAATTGAAGCTGAGTATTTGGAATTGGCACACTTAATAGTTTTAGTTAAAATGTTGTATCCGTATGTCCTGAGGTATTTGTTTTATATAAAGGCAAAGATTTCAGGTTCCAGTGCTCGATTATTATCTCATTCGGTTATAAACACTTTTAGTACATATTAATGATTTTTACAACCAGGTATTTTAAAGGAGTAGGCACCTTTCATCTCTTTTGTAACTCTGCTGTTTTTCTTTTCATATACTGTAATTATTTAAAATGTCCATGGAATAAAGTGGGCACAGACTAACATTGTGTCGTCTATGATCGTCGCTTCAATAGATTTAATGGTAGTGGTCATTAATCGATGACAATTTCTTTGCTCCTCGAAAATATTCGAGTGAGTTTTCAGATGCAAGACTAGTTTAAATATGAAAGCGTTGTTCTGAGGTTGTTTGTCTTGTTGCGTTGTGTTGCTTCGTTTAGCTGTAGTGTCGTGCTGTAACATTTCCACTGCCTGTTTTAGGCCAGATTTTGAGAGGGAGCAGATTCTCAGCGAAAGCTCCAGTGTGTGACTGTGCTAGTAGCAGGTGGAACCAACCAAAATTGGGACTGATCCACAACATGCCATCTATCCACATTCTTGCTGTAATAGCTGTACAGGCAGCTCTCCCTGGAAAAATAATATACCAGTCTTAGAAAAGTTTCAAAGCGAAACTTTTGTGCCTGTACATATTACATGCATGTGTGTGTCTCTTTGTGTGTGTATGTGCGCACGTATATATGTTTGCATGGCGAACAGTTAAAAATAGACTTTCAGCTTTCCTGCTTGGTTGTTGCTTTTTCTCTGTCTTCTCTGGCAGACCCCCACAGACCCACATTCTTGCCAAAGAGCCAAGACACGGCCTAGACAGGCCTTATTTCACACTGCTCCCTCCGTAAGGCCTAGAGAAACTCCTCCGTTAGCCCACTCTGCTAATGCTAATGGCACAGGCCCAAATGCTGCAAATAAAAATTACATAAATACTCATATATATATATATATATATATATATAAATGTGGCAGACAGTGCATATTATTCTGAAATGGACAATGGTTGTTTTCTAAAAAGTCCCGCCTGGAATGATATTCTATCAAATAGTAGTACTGTATGTTCTTTTGTGTATTCCTTGATTGCGAAGTATTTCAAATGAGTCGATTAGTGTTTACTGAATGCACATCTGATTTCACAAGATTCATTGTAATGACCGCTTTTGGTCTTTTATTTGATGGATTCTGTACTTTGTTTCCACAAAAAGTGTTGTACCATGAATGTGTTGCCACCAAATCATTCATCATTTTTTTCTCCTGTGTTCCACTCTACCACAGGATGAATTCCATCCTTTCATCGAAGCACTGCTGCCCCACGTGCGAGCGTTTGCCTACACATGGTTCAACTTGCAGGCCCGCAAGAGAAAGTACTTCAAGAAGCACGAGAAGCGCATGTCTAAGGAAGAGGAGCGTGCAGTGAAGGATGAGCTGCTCAGCGAGAAGCCCGAGGTCAAGCAGAAGTGGGCATCGCGCCTCCTGGCCAAGCTCCGCAAGGACATCCGGCCTGAGTTCCGGGAGGATTTTGTGCTCACCGTCACCGGGAAGAAGCCCCCGTGCTGCGTGCTGTCCAATCCCGACCAGAAGGGCAAGATGAGGAGAATTGACTGCCTGCGCCAGGCAGACAAAGTCTGGAGGTTGGACCTGGTCATGGTGATTTTATTCAAAGGTATTCCTCTCGAAAGTACTGATGGCGAAAGGCTGGTAAAGTCCCCACAGTGCTCGAACCCAGGGCTGTGTGTGCAGCCCCATCACATTGGAGTTTCAGTAAAGGAGCTCGACCTCTACTTGGCCTATTTTGTGCATGCAGGTAAGTCCCTCTTTTGTTTCTCAACTCTCTATAAACAAGTCAACATTTGTTCGAAATTGGAGTTGCATAAATGTTGAATGTGGGATAATGTTGTACAGTTAATCCAAAACAAAAATACATGGATGGGGTTCAAGGGTCAAATCAATTTTATCACTGAGCGCAGGCCAATGTACTGTACATAGTTGGCATCAAGAATCACTCTTTCAACGAACAATCACAGGCCATTCACCAAGTAAGCACCCAACCAAAATAAAGTTCAATTTCTTTTTTTAGGACTTCAATTCACCTTGCTCTCAGCAAACCCAACACTGCACCGCACAGCACCGTCCCTTCTCTGTATGCAGACACAAATGTTATCTGTAGCAGACACCCATAATTTCATCAGTGGTCTATAAAGTAGTAGTCTGGGAAAAGCGGGACAACTCTGCCAAATTCCTCGCACTGGCCCGTCCCTTCTCTGTTTAAGATGGGCCAGATTTTGGGGAAGCTGGCACTGCGAGACGACCGAGTCAGTTGCCTAAAAAAAATCAATTATCTCCATCACGATTGCTCAGCACGTTTTCTATTTCAGACTAATTCAACATGGGCTGCTGTTGGGTGGAGATATCAGTTGAATTATTTTCCTGTTTTTTTGTGCGCAACAGAGAGTAGCATCATATTCATATAGGTGTTTGGCAGTTGTATGAAAAACTTGGCATGGAGCTATTTTAAGTTTTTAGAGATTCTGAACTTCTTGGAAATTAGGAAACAGTCTTATAAATACACAAGAAAATTTACAATTTGGTAAATATAAAAACCTCAACATGGTATCAAATTTACGGCTGTATGTTTTTATATCTCTCCTGTAAATAATTAATGTATTCGAAGGCTTTGATTAAAAAGTGGAAAATACATAATAATTAACTAATGACTTGGACATGGTTTCATGTTTTCCCCCCTGAGCTAAATCCTAATCTAGAAGACCACATTTTACAATTTAACAAAATATATTACAGTATATTTCATAGTATATTACAGTATATTTCAATATATTTCATGTCATCTACCCAGTCTACGGCTTTTCCACAGTGTGGAAAATCTTGTGTACGTTTTCACCATAATATTAGTTGTGCTTGTTTGATGAAAACTCACCCCGAGAGTGAAGTCCAGTGCAAATAACCGATAGAGAAATTGTTAATTGGCAAGAGGCAGCAGGAGCTCGTTCGTCCACTGACAGCAACACAAACACCAGCCTTCACTTGCAAGGTTTGGAGAGTGCTCTGTTTCACCAGGCAAACCGAGCACCTTAATTACAATAATTTCCTCTGTCCAACCCTAAGTGAGCTAGGCATAATGTATGCCCACATTTACATTCTTATAGCAACATATGTTGTTTACCTTTTCCATAGCTTTTGTAAATTTTTAGTCGATTTTTGCGTTAACAGCACCGCAATTGAAGTTTAAAATGTTGAGGGATGTTATGTAGTGATTTTAGCCAATCGGAATAAATACAATTATGATTAAAATGAGCCTATAGGGTTGGTTACCTTGAGAGCTGTGCAGTACTACGATTTAGTCTGGCTGGAATGGGAGTTCATTTTAACTTGGGCCAGTCACAAAAGTTTCGGCCTTTGGAGGGTTTTTGTCAAAATAAGGCATGATGGGCCTCATTATGAATTCCACAAACCGCTTAGTCAACGATGTTATAATTGGACAGAAAGAAATCCCTGATTAGCAATATGCAAGTACATAAAAAACAAAACTACTTTTAGACGAAACACTGACACTCATTTCAATTTTTGGGGGGACAGTATACTTACTATATGCTAGTCTCAAATAAAAGTTGCTGCAGCCAATTATGGCTAAAATGTTATCCCCACGCTGCCAAATCCTGAGTTTTGATGTTTTGTAAGCCTATTCATGGGCGCTTTGCTCCCGCCAGCATTCTTAAAGCTGAAGTTAGATTTTTTTTCTTTACTGGGCTTGATTGTGAATGAGGTGTCAGCGAGCGAACAAGAGGGAGAAGAAAGAGACAGAGTGCCCACAGAGCATGGAGGTCTGCCTATAGTCGAGTTAAGTCTGCAATGTGCTCTCTCCCTCTCTCTTGCTCCTTCGTCGCCTCGTCCCACAGGATCAGGTTTCTTCCTCTGTCTCATTTAAAGCAGTGGAGCATTTCTAGAGCGCCGTTGATTAAAAGCCATCTGAAGAGAGGCTGACCTCATGCACGGATGCCGAAGTTGAGGTTTTTGAGGACAGCTGAAGTCAGTAATTAAATCTATCCCCCACTGCTGCAAGGGCAAAGGGTGGTAGAAGGGGACTTGTCCCCCCGTGCTAACACTATCCAGCCACCAACCCATTTAACAGCAAACATAGTAGAGCACTTTTATTATCAGGGTGTCACAATTCTCAAAAACAACTCTTGTGAAATTTGTAGCCGACTGTGTGTACTTGCAAAGTTTACAACTTAATTAGCATTTTATTATCTATCTTTAGGCTTACTGGTTGGTGAATTATTTTGCAATCTGGTATATTCTTGGGAGAGTTTTGTGATGTAGTGCCACATGCCTAACCCTACTTAGTTGTGATATTGTGTGGGGATGGGCTGGGATATCAGTCTTTAACCAGGGCTTTCCCAGCGTTGTTCAACAGTCACAAGCTAGCATCGTTTGTCATCTTTAGGAACAATGTGGTGTAAGAGGGCGGGCCCCCCTTTGACTCCAGAGCAGGCAGCGTGGCCAGGGCTAATTTAGGGCTCGCTCTCAGCCCGGCAACGGGTGTCGGTATCACAGGAGCACTCAACACGTGGGAAAGGTCATGGCTTAAGATGTTAGGGTTTTGACCCTATCTTCTAGGCATTTGACCTCTTTGACAAACATCCCCTCTCATTAGCAGCCAGTCAAGCGGATGGATTGCTCTGGCTTTGGAAGAATCTGTGACCTCTTGTTAAAGCAGCCCACTTTTACTTTGTTTGGGGCAGCGGGGCCAGTTGGTTAAAATGAGCCAAGAACCGTTTCGGCATAGACTGAAGAGACTGTTTGAAGTCATTTCTTTAATGCAAGCTAAACAATAGCAGTAATTCTGCAAGCCGTATAGCAGGGCTCTCCAACCTTGTTCCTGGAGAGCTACCCTCCTGTAAGTTTTCGCTCCAACCCAGTTGTAACTAACCCGATTCAGCTTATCAACCAGCTAATTATTAGAATCAGGTGTGCTAGATTAAGGTTGGAGTAAAAACCTACAGGATGGTAGCTCTCCAGGAACAGGGTTGGATAGCCCTGCCGTGTAGGTTGCTATAGTAGCTATTTAAGGCATAGGTCATAATAGTTTTCTGACAAGTTGGAAGTTGTTGGGTAATTAACTATTGCAGTGGTGGTTAAAGTCATAAACATGATATGCTATGGTGTTTTTGTAACAAAACATTTACAAAACCGGATGAAAGACAAGGGTTGAGTGAGACTAGTAGTCCCATAATAATTTTAAATGAAAGGTTGTCTCTTGGCTAGCTTGCAGTCTTTTTAATGTCTTTGCTTCCACTTAACGTTATATGTGGTCAGACTGAATGCTATATTAAGTCTTCTAACCAGGACTTCATGCCACTTCTGGACAAGAGCAAGTAGACTGAAGGGTATTGGAAACCTGTCTGGTGGACAACTGTCTAACAATTCAAATCGGATAGAAACTCTTGATAAAACTCTGGGCCTTTGATGCAAACAGAATGTGTTTTTTCTAGTGAGGGTGAGGGACGGTGAAGGCCTTACTGTGGATAGCTTGGGTGATCTTTATTTCCTCAGGGTCTGCTAACATGGCAACACCTACTTACTGGCTAGGAAAGCAGGAATAAAAGGGAGAAAGACATAAATGGTTGGGTTGCAGTGTCATAAAAGTGACAAAAAATGGAAATCCAGGCGTCAATGACGCAATGCAGATTGTTCGTCTATAGTCCTGGAACTTATTTTGTTTGGAGTCAAGTCCTTTTATGGCTACAGCAACTGGTTAGTCGCTAGCAATGTGGCAGTAAAGAAAGCAGCTCATAGATCGGTGGGGAGGAATGAGGTTCTAATAGAAAATAACAAACTCGGCCATGTTTATTAAACACCATTTTCATCTCACCTTCTCTGTTTTCACTGTGCGCAATACAATTGAAGGATATCACTGGCTCGAAGAGATAACATGCCACTGAGTGGACCTATGTGAACATGTCCAGGGCCACTGATATTTGTTATTGCCGCTTTGCCTTATATGACCCCGGTGGTAGAGATGAACAAACTGTTTTCGTGTGTTGAATGTCTGTAAAAACGTCTGACCTATTTCCCGCTAAGCTCTTAAAGAGATTTGCACTGCGTCTCTCTAAACTAGTTAGCTTTGACGATGCATCCTCGAGGCACTGTAACTTTTAGGTTCGGATAAAAAGTAAAGAGTAAATCCATTTGTTTTACTGCCCTGGAACTCCAAGTGTCCAGTGAGTTTTGCGCAACCCTCTACAGGTTGTGTGAAGAGGGATTTTGAAACGACTTGGCCTTACACACAGCACACCAGACTAGTTTGCTGCCAGTTTAGATCATCAGCCTGCTGTAAACCAAGGTGCAAAGAAAGGTAAAAGACACCAGCCGTTCCATTGTAACGGTGCACACACAAAGATGGCGGTTTGCTGTGTTGCCCGGGGGGTTTCTCTGAGAGTAACAAAATCTGTCAATATCTACCAGCTGACTTTTGGCTTGTCATGTTACAGCCGTTTTAAATTTCCTTTCCCTTCCACAGGCTGAGGAATAACAATAATTTTGAGCTATTTAAGGTGATAGTGGGATAAACCACAGCCTTTCTTGTGGTTACTGCAGTACATATTGTGAGTTAGTACACCCCCACCCCCCATCCCCCCCCACCCCCCACCACAACCACCACCACCCACCCACTCACTGCAGTTTTGGCCCCCCCCCTAAATCCCAATAACCACCCGACTGCCATAGCTATGACTACAACAATGACTTTGTCACCATGCTCTCACAAGTACAGCGGTACAGAAACACATACACACAAGGACACACTGTACCATTCATTGTAATTGAGCTTGGGGCCCATTCATAAAAATGCTTCATTGTCATAGCGTTTGATATCAGCGAGTAATAGTGTGGCTGTGATGCAGATGCCCTACTAGAGAAATCCCACAGCTGGCCTGGTCCACTGTGCCAAAGGACTAGCCCAGGTTGGGATCAAATGATCTGATACAATATACTGCCTTTTTAATATCACTGGATATGACCTTCCTTTGAACCATTTTCGTTGGCGTTTTCTAAGGTTCTCAGATGGGGAAACGTTGTAAGATTTCTGTCGAACAACGTTCCCCCTCCTTGGGAAAATATCTCATAAACCTGATTGCTCAGCAAATTCAGGTAATCCGTTTAAAGTGCATTGTCAACGCTGAGCTCTCCCTGAAATCCTTACTAATGTACAGATTTGGAACGTATTGTCTGGTTTCAGTTGAGGATTTTGAGGCATGAATGATCACAAAGCAAAACAAAAACAAATGCAGTGGCCCTCTTTTTCGTTTGACCGTTTTAAGGACCTTCTTTCCCTTTGCCTTTGTCTATTTCTTTGTTGTTCATTTGATGACCAAAAACACATTCTCTCTCTAAACAAACCAGCGCATTTCAGAATGGGCAACACCACAATATTTGAAGTCTTAATACCCCTTTCAATAGGCGAAACATAAAAGAGATGAGTTCATTTCTAAATCTTGTATTTGGACCGAACATTTTTTAAACGAGACAACGGCAGGTTTTAGCAGCGGGGGCTAAGCTAGGCTACGTAGCGTTAGCGTAGCATAGTGAGCAGTGGTCTGGCATGTGTATAGAGCCGGACACCTGGATGAGGTGGGGGACTAGCTGCTTTATCCCAGTGGGGCGGACAGACAGACGGATGGGGAGATTGGCACTGGGGAAGTTGGGCTAATTAATTCTGCATTAATGCCCAGGTCCGCCCAGGACGTCCCCAGCAGCAAACAGCTAGCAGAGAGGGGGAGACCGAGGCATGTGCCAAGCTTTCTGAAGCTTGCTGTTTCTTTCTTTTTTCCGGAGGGTTGTAAATGAGATATGGTGGTTGTGTATATGTATGAGACCTAGGCTGACAGGAATCTGTGGGCCTCAATCTGCAGGATATTTTCTCCTCTCCTACATGTTAGAGATTTGCTGTTCTTTGTCAGTTTTTTAGGGCCTGTCTGGTTCCAAAGAAGTTAAAGCCTAGGAACTGCATGAGTTGAACCATAGCTCTCCCTAACGGCTCAGACCATTCAGGACTTACACAGGCACTAGACGTCTCTTCCCGTTTCAGAACAGCAGCTTTGGCTAACTTCTGAGAATGGCCTCTTTGTACCCACACGCAATTCAACAAGAGTCCCATTGTCTTTAGCTCCCCGCTAGCCTCAGCGCTAGTCATTGCTCAGTCTTTATTGTGTGCACTTTGATTGTATTAGGACTTGATGAGGACTTCATTTGAATGGTGGGCAGACAGCTCATGTGCTGTTCGGGCCCGAGCGGGGGAAACGGTGCTAATCATCTTATTACCGCGGGACATTTTTTTAAATGAATTTTTTGGAGCAAGCACTAGCTGCACATGGTCGACGCGCACACCCAGCAGAGAAGTAGAAACAACTCATTCTTCTTGCTACCTGTCTCGGAACATTCCACTTGTTGTCCTGCACATTGATTTGCCAGGCCACATGACTGAATGTCGGTGGCGCAAACTACAGGATGTTTCGAACCACACAGATAGACACACACACAGCCGACGATTGTGGCAGCGAGGGAGAGGGTAGGAAAGAGGGGAAGAGACAAAAGGGTTTCAGGATTCACTGCGTTTAAATGTCAGCTCCTCTCCCGTCTTTGTCGAGGCAGCCACAGGAATGTGCTGCAGCCGGGGAGTTGTGCCAGTCAGTAGTGAGTAACCGTCTTTATGGTGGATCTTAGCAACTGAGAGAGGCTCCTCTCCCGCCACTCAGTGCCCTAGCTTTCTCACTTCAGCTGCCGCTTTACAGCCGGTCCAGTGCTGATGCATGCCAACTCAAAATGAAGTCTTGCCTGACCCAGTAACACGCCAGGCAAACAGAACGGACCGACATCTGAGATTCGTTTCTCCAACACTTACGTGGATAAGATGAATTATTCTTCTGAAGAAGACTGTCTCAGGGGGAGAGTAGCATAGCCACATGGCTAGCTACATGCTCAGCGGGTGAGCATTGGGGTTCAAAGTACAGTCAAAGAATTGGCAGAGTGGACACCAGAGGATGAAGAGGGAAAGCGATTTCCAGCATTACAAATGCATTCCTAGAATTGTGTGTTTTTTGACCGTCTGTTGCGGTGTGGGCACTACTCTCCATTATCTTGAAAAGGTCTGAGCTCGTTCAGACACTGTGATCCACCAACGAGCCACTATTGTGTGATGAACCCATTTGGGATGGTATATAAAAGGGCCCGCAGACATGAAACAGGACAGCTGTGGCCATCTGTAGGGGAATGTTGCTACAGATGGTGAAAGAAGTGAAAAATAAACTACCGTATGGCTGGTAAAATATAGAAGAAAGACTAGGGGTTTGCTGAACTGGTTCCTCTCGCATCCTCTGTGTGTGTGTGTGTGTGTGTTTGCATGTCATAGTGAGTGTGATCACGTGTTGTTTTAGCTCTTGCTCTGTACTTATACCCTTTCTACCCGTCTGTTGTGCAGTTCAAGGAAGATTTATTTCCTCTGCGCTCCAACTGACACG